GGGGGACGCTTTGGGTCGGCATGGGGTCGAATCCCTGAGGGAGGAGGAGGCGTCCGCCAACCCCCGCCCCCTCCCCTAAATCCGCCCCTGGTTTATTGGGACTTTTAGGGTCCTCCAAAATTTTTAATTTTTGTATGATACAAATTATCTAAAATATCAAAATAGGGCACTCGACAGAAAGTAAACGCGATTCTTAAATCTTTACTATAGCCTGGAGCTTTTGAAATGAGCTGATTTGAACTTTCAAAAAATATTATAAAATATTAACTGTTTGTTTTTTGCTTGTTTTTTGACAGACTGTTAATTTAGTTCATCTTTTGAAGTGATCGCAGTTAGTGGCGTTTACATGTAATGTGTAGCCGACTCAAACATAACACACTTGTATGAAAGCTTCAAAGAATAGCGGCAGTGAAAAGATTCAAAAAATTCAAAAAAAAATATCTTTTTTTTATGTCTAAAACGCTGTTTTTGCCATCAATTTTTTATATTTCATAATACGCACAAGATCAACTTAGTTACTTTTCGTCGCAAGACCACAGCCTGCACGTTAGGTCGAAAGAATGTCGAATTTAAACCCATTCATAAATATTTCACGAAGTTACCTTCTTTTCCGTTTCTACTTTCTTAATTCAGTTCATGTAATTTTGTCTGGCCCGTAATTGATAGGAAAGAAAAACTTGAGTGCAAACAAAAACAGTTCACTTAGCCGAAAAAAAATTTAGAAACTCTGCATTCTGTACAATAAGATTTGAAAAAGCAGTTGTTTCGAACTACATAAAGTAGATCAAAAATTGCGGTCAAAATACGTTTTTTTTTTTCAACTAAACATAATATTTCTCGGTAACTGACCTTCTTTTGAGTTTATGCTTGTAGAGCTTTATGCTTGTAGGGGTAAATCAACTTCAGACAATTGCATTTTTGATATCTATAATTAAAGTTCTTTGAAGTTGCGCAGTTGTTCGGGACCGATATATCAAAGGCATAAACAAATACTACAGCACCAACGCCAGTCGAGCTTTCAGTCATTCAAGCATGCATTAAATCATCTGAAGGTGCTAAATAGGTCGAAGGTCGACGTGAAAGTAAGACAACACAATCTTCAACCTACAAAAGCTATATTGAAGGGCGAAATACATGTGCTGAAAGCTTTTTGATTTAATACACTGAAATGCTAACGCATATATTTCAAAATTTTTAATTCAAGCTTCGAAAAACTGCGTTGTGTTTTTGAAACATTTTCAGACTTCATTAACGAACACCTTCAGCAGAAGTTTTCGAAAATTCCTGTTTTTCTGGCGTGTCGCTAAGTCGTTCCCCTCAATTTCTTTGAATTTTTATCACCTCATTTTCTGTTTCTTAAGTTTTCGTCGCTTTGGTTTCTGTTGTTGTTTAGTTTAGTCGATGGTCCTTTGCCGGTGCATGTTTGTATATCACTGCAAGCTGAAGATAAGAGCGCTTTTCAATTGCATGATAGAAAAAAGTCGGAACAGAAAAAAGGGAAACTAGAATGAAAATCCTCTGATGTTACTTACATGTGCTTTGATGTTGCGGTCTGGCCCATAGAGCTTACAACTTTCATGCCAGACATTTAGAATAGACAGTGACAATGCCGAAACGCTGCGTTCATAGCGCAGAAATCTCGACAAGCAGAAGCAATGACCCCATCATGCATCAAAATCAAGCATGCAAAATACTATGGTCCCCTTATTCGAAAAATACTAAAATGAAAATAAAATATCCTGAAAATGTTCAGAATCTTCGTTGACAAAAATTCAAAAAATGTTCTTGAAGTAAATCTTTTTTTTTCTTTAATTTTTCACAGTATTGTAACATCACGCAAATATCCAGCAAGGACTTTTTCCTTTTTGATCTGTCGGCTTTCTGAGTTTGTCTGACTTAGTCAGGCCGTCCGTCTATTCCGTTTTCTCGGACGTAGACTATTTTGCTCGGCTCGGCAACCTTGAAAAATAATCTTTTCCCATTTACTCCAGACTGAATTTTTCATTTGTTCCTAACATTCTCTCCTTAACTGCTGCACGCATTTTCTATTCTCTGAAGTTTAAATTTAGTAAGTAAAATAAAGATTGTTTTCAGCTGACTTTTTACCTTTCGCTTGAAGCCATAAAAATTACTGTTCACACTTATTCCAGACCAGACACAAAAACAAACCGTACATGTACTAAGAGTGGGACTCCTAAGTCGAGAAGCAATAAAAATTTACGAGTTTTTTTTTGCTTCGTTAAGCATTCTAACACACGAGACGGCAAAACCACTACTGCAGAAATTACTCTAGAAACGCCCGATTGTAAAAAAGTTATTTTTTGCATTAAATAAAGTGTTTTTCGCATTTAGAAAAAGAGCGGTAATTCTGTTTCATGCGCAATTTAAATTTAGTAACTTTAAATTCAGTTTACAGACACTATTAATTGTACAGTTTTGGGACCATAAATTCATGCCGAATTTAGGATCAAAGAAACCGCCTTCAGACAGATTTGAAAGATAGAATCTGTAAAACTTTCGCTTCTCATTCTGCAGTTTGTTCACGAACTTCATTCGATTCGATTTCTCTTTCGACCCAGTTTCGAAAACCTTAGAAATAAACAGCAAATAAGCCTACATATAGCTAGTTCTAAGTCGTTAGAGATAAGACAACCTTAGAACGACAAAACTAGGTCACCCATACACCATCACTCACCCCCTAAGCGAGACAAGATAATATCATAGCCGGAAAATTCCGTTATTATTTGTCTACAACTTTACAGACTTCTGAAATCCAAGTTAACAAAAGCGACAGCAACACGTAATCATCTACGACGAATAGAAATGGAAATCAATCGGCTTTCGGCTCTCGTGTTTTGCGTGGCGGTGATCGCACTGGGACTCGTGGATGCTGCGGATCCAGTGTGGTGGAAAACAGTGACCCGCAATCCTGCTACGTGCAAAAAGAAACTGGGCTTCCTTTATTTGGTATGTTGTTCAAATTGGTTTTTAAACGAGAACAAACCACACGCTTTGAAATTGGTGAATTAATATTCAGTTATAATGCTCATAAGAAAAAAATTCTTTTCGAGCTACTCTCATAGCTCTAAACATTTTTGGCTCAAAATGAATTTGTTTACTAAAATTGTTAAGTCAGCAGCAGGCACATTTGATAAAAATAATCAGGCAAAAGTCTGCTAGAGGGGTCGCAAGAAACAAAGAGGGTCTACCTAGTTAATTGGTGTCTAAAATTTTTTTCAATCTTTTGTTGCTTCGGTGATGTCAATTAAAGCATCGAATAAGTCAACCGCAAATGAGGCAGAGGTCAATTGGGTTCGAGAAAAAGTCTCCAAAACGACTGAGCGACGTCAATTTTCGGGTGAGTGGACCGGAAGCTTTAAAAGGACCGGCAGCTTTAAGATAATTATACATCATAGTCGACTAAAAAAATCAAAAGTTTTAAATATTATTAGACCCATAGTATTTAAAATATCCATAAATCAACTGTGTTCTGTTTTAGGACGAGTTCAAAGATGTCAATTTGGAAATATCGAAAACATGTGCCATCGTGGATAAGTTCTGGAACGGCGACAAAAAAGATGAAGAAATTGAGTGGTGCAGAAGACTTTATGCCACACAACACATCAGCTATCAAATTCAAGGACCCAAATTTCCGGCAGGGACTGAGCTGGAAACTCTGAAAAAAAATGTGGGACTTCAGGTCATGGTCGAGGTAGGGCACAAAAACTTTTCTAAGTTGGTGAAGTCTTTTGTTTATAGGGCTCAATTTTTTTAACGATGTTCAGATATATAATCAATGTTTCAAAAATCAAAAGAAATCCAAATTTAATGACTTAGAAGACCTGACAAAGAAAGTTGGAGTTCAGGTTATGGTCGACGTAAGAATTTCAAAAACTCTTCGATGATTTGGAAGTTTTTTGAAAATTGATTTCCTGAGGTCCCACAGATCGCTGTTGGGACCTTATTCTGTCGAAGTTTCTAGACCGCAGGCAAGTTTTTGAAAAAAATAGGCAAAAATGTAATTTAAAAACACTTTTCGAAAGTTTTTAACAATACCTTTTGAATGATATTAAAAAATTCCGTCAAAAATTGCTAGTTAGAAAGTCGAAATTTGTCTAAAGAAAAAAACCCACCCCGAGCAGAAATATTCCGTTACTTTTGTCACGAAAGTCGGAACAAAACTGCTCGTATCAGGGCGAAGCCCTGAATGTTTCGACTGCCTTTTAAGGTTTATGGAGCAGTAGTAACAAAAAAATGTTAAAAAATTAAAATGAAGATTTTTTTCGTAAAATCTAAGTTTTTTATGAAATTATCCCCCACACGCCATATAAAGTACAAAAGAATATATTTTGCTCATTGTAATAAATCATTCATGGCAAATAAGCTTCCTTCAACAAATTTGAAACGATTTCTAAGACGGATTAAATCTCCGCTTACGCGTTAATAGAGCGAAATATATCGCGCGTCAATTGTCCCAAGTTGACCAAAATGGCTATCCTTAAACCCCCATAATTTATGAAAAATGATCACAGGTGAAATATTCAAGTTCACCTGTGATCATTTCAAGTTTCAGCTCAGGGCATCGATACCTTTTGAATGATATAAAAAAATTTCTTCAAAAATGGCTAGTTAAAAAGTCGAAATTTGTCTGAAGAAAAAACCCACCCCGAGCACAAATACTCCGTTACTTTCGTATCAAAAGTCGAAACAATAAAAATAGAAAACATTATATCAATTTTCTAAACAAAGCAATTTTGCTTAGCTAATCTAACGCAAATCAAAAGCAATAGTTTAATTTTCAAATTTCTAATGCAAATCTAACGCTAATCAAAAGCAATTGTCTAATTTTGAAATTTCTAAAACTATTAAAATAACTTGCGTTATGTTTTTGAAACTTTTTAACCCATAATGATTGATTATTAATCCGACTTTCGATACGAAAGTAACGGAGTATTTGTGCTCGGGGTGGGTTTTTTTCTTCAGACAAATTTCAACTTTTTAACTAGCCATTTTTGACGGAATTTTAAAAATATCATTCAAAAGGTATTGTTGTCCTGAGCTTAATTTTGAAAAGATAATTCACCTGTGATATTTTTTGTAACGTTTTGGGGCTACAGAAATTGCCATATTGGGACAATTAACACGCGTTATATTTCGTGCTGTTAACGCGTAAGCGAGATTTATTTCATCCTAGAAATCGTTCTAAATTGGTTCAAGAAAGCTTATATGCCAGAATTGGTTTGTTAATAGGAGCAAAATTTACACTTTGTACTTGATATGGCTTGTGGGGAGATGTTTTCCTTAAAAATCTCAAAATTTTGTAAAAAAAAAATCTTTAATATTTTTTTAATTTAAATTTTTTTAGTTATTTCTGCTCCATAGACCTTAAAATGCAGTCGAAAAACTCAGGGCTTCGCCCTGATACGAGCAGTCTAGTAATCTACTTGAAATTAATTATCGCTTAAACAAATGGTAGCAGAATAATCTTTTTTAAATTGATTATAATTTTTACAATATTTTTTAAAGTTTTTTAGGTCAACCAAATTGATTTTCCGAGCTCTCCTAAAGCCTTATAAAGACCGTAGATTGTAGGTGGACAAAATTTTCACCGCCAAGTGTAGACAAAATTTGGAAAAGAAAATCAGGTAAAAAAAAAACGTTTTTGGGCACATTTTGGAAAAAAAATCGCGTTTTTTCGGCGCGCGCTCCCCTTCAAAATTAGTTTATATTGGCGCCGTAGGCTCTTTTAGAAAACTTTTAAGTGTCGATTGGCCAAAAATGGATTTCTTAAAAAGTACCAAAGGGAGGATCTTTTCGGTCAACAGGGGGTCGAATCCTTGAGGGAGGGCGTCCGCCCCCTTGCCCTTCCCCTAAATCTGCCCCTGAACTAAGTGATAATCATAGCTGGAACTCCGGTTCGGGTAATGGCTCATCACTTGCTACGTTATGGTGTAAAAACGATAGTTTAAGTACATCAAAAGAAATTAAACAAACAGTTTTTTTAATTAAACTATTGAAACTGCTTTTGAACGTTTTGTGGTGGGGACGTTTTGTTTTAGTATTTTCAAAGATCACGGTTATTCTTGCTGTTTCGTTTTTCAAAGAAAGTGACCAAATGTTTGTTATCGCGGTTTGGTTTTTTTCTTTTTGAGTATTTTCATTTCATCTGAAATCATGAATGCCTTGCTCAAATCTAAAAAGAATGGGAATAAAACTTCACGGTTTGGCGCCAAGCTTTTTATATAAGTAGAGCCCAAGTACAGACACAACTTGTCATTTTTCTTAATTTTCTCGGGTTCCAAACAATTTTGTTCGCATACATTCTGAATTTCCTGAACGATGATATCATAGGAATCACCGATCTTTTCTGTTTTTTCGATTGCAAGGGTTGGCAGTTTTTTCAAAGCCAACGCTAAATCGTGATTCGTTTCGTAGGTCACTTTCAGACCCAATTAATTAATTTTTCTCATGTAACTCTGGGAGAGATGGAAAAAACAACTCGATAAATGTGCTTCGGGGAATGTTTTTTGGAAGGACTGAAGAGCAGCTTGCTCAAAATCTAACAAAATTTTTCAAGGCCAGCAGTTGGGCGCTAAATCAATTAACGCCTGCAAGAAGCGATTGTAGGTTTTTTCGGTTTTGTTAGGAAGGAAGGCGTATTTGCAAGCTGGCGCATTGCCAGATACCTTAACCTGAATTGAACATAGCTGATAGAATAATTTTGGAGTAATTTTGAAAGTTCCATCGGCTAACCAGAAAGATAACTTCTCCAGAACTCTAAGCATTTCGGGGTCGCCGAACAAAATGCAAAATGATTCGCTCGTGATCATTTGATCCACTGTCAAACCGGATGAAATTTTCAAAAATTTCAGGGATCTCGAAATTTTGCGCAACGGGGATGTGGGGCATGTTTACATCTAGCTGCTTACGAGTGCGCGCATCCGTTCGGATCAGTTTGTCTTTACTTGGTAGGGCAAACTGAGTGACCAAATCGTTTGTAACTGGCAAAACCGCACTGCGACAGTCGGCGTAAATATCTCGCTGAGATTTTGTAAATGCCTTATGACATTTCGGGTTCGGATTATCCCGCTGAAATGTCATGGTCATGCTCTCCACGCGTCTCGATTAATTCGTTATTTTCTGTAATGGCAGTTGCTCGACATTTATGGGTTTGATATTTTGAGCAAATCCTAGTTTTTGGTAAATTTATTTTTTCGCTTGAAATGAAATTCGTGGCCGGACGCTTTAAGAATTGGCTTGTTTTTAGATGAAACTGTGAATTCGAATGAGGACTCAATCATAAAGTGTTTATCGTTAATTTTCGTTATGAACTTATTGATAAGAGTTTATAGTAATTTAACCTCCTTTTAGCCAATGTAAGATTAAGATCAACCAAGGTTTTCATTATGGTGCGTGCGTTAATTGCGGGATTAACTTTGCTGTGATAAAAGTTAAGATAAGGAATTCATACAGCATTAGTTTTAGTAGTGAAACGACTAGGTGTTAAAATGTACGGCGTTAAATTGTATGTCATTAAATTGTAGGACACCGTTTTTGATGAGACTGCACCAGACATGAAAGAAAGAAACTTGTACTTTAAATAGCGTAAAGGGGGATAAAATGGAAAAAAAATGTCACATTTTTTTCGCATGCCTTATCACTTTTTTGAAACAATAATTTCCATCGAAACTGCAACGGGCAGCTAAAATCATTAGGATTTCGCCCTGGTATGTGCATATTTGTTTGTAATTGTTCAGATTAACTGCTTCGCAAACAACGGCAATTGGCATCATGGAGAGGGTAATTCCTCGTTTATCCATTTCTTGTGTAAAAAAGAACTTCTTGATCCGGAATTGGTGAAGAATGACACCCTCGTAGACCTGACAGAACAGGCCGGGGCAGTTACGGACACATATTACTTTTACAAGAATGAAAACGAGGTCCAAGAAGCAAGCAGTAAGGTAAGTTATGCTTGCACTAATTAAGACTGTTCAAAATGCTGATTTCTAAGTCTTAAGTTGTCCTTTGTTATGAAGAGACCAAATTATTAGTAATCAAGATCCAACAAATCATGACAATATTTTACAATTTTAACGCCTTTTCTTGGTAATTCTGGTAATTGGTAACGAGACAATTCATGTCATGAATATGCACAATACCTCAGAGGGTGTTCGGGTCTATTCTGTTATACGGTCCAAAACTGATCATTTTGTTAATTTGAAAACACAATCGTAATTCTCGAATCACTGGGCTAAAGCTGAGAATTGCTAGGGGAAATCAGGATTTTCAATAAAAACAGTAGCTCGAATAACAAATTAGCGTGAGTGATCAAGCAATCGAACTTTTCGTAAAATTCCAACTAAAAGCTCTTTTTCCTCCCCCCCCCCCCCCCCCCCCACCACCTCACTCAAACATGAATTTTATGGTCTAACAAGTGGTTTTACAAGGTTAATTATGAAGACCAATCGGACAAAGTGAACAGTAACTTCAAATATAAAAATTTGCAGGTGGGGGGGGGAAGGAAAAAGAGCCCTTAGTTGGAATTTTACGAGAAGTTCGATTGCTTGATCACAGTTGAAGTTATTTTGTTTACAGTTCTTCGAGTACTGGGTGGTAGATTCTAGCTTCGGTGTGAAACACGCAGCAGGTATGGGACTCATTCTGACAACACTCGTTAGCCGAATGTTCCTCTCGGAATAATTCACCTCTCGTGAACAAAGGAACGAAAGAACTGAACAACTCGCCGCATCCGAAACTTTCATGGAAACCGCATCATTGAGTGCTTTTGGTGTTAATGTAATAAATCAATAAACGAACTACTTTTTCTACCGATAGTATTATTAAGTGAATCTTGTTAACTATCCCCCTCCCCCCGTAGGTTGTTCCAAACGACGATGCATAACCCCAGTTGTAGTAAAAGAAGAAATTGACAATATTTCAACTAATAAATGAAATCGAGAAGGGGGAATAGGGCGCATGTCAAAAATATCCCCCCTTAATAGACCAAGTGAACAATCTCCCCGCTAAAATTATTGGGCAAATTCAAGACATAAGGCCTGCATGTACTATGCTCAAATCTGATTGGCTGAAAAACATTACTCAACCAAGTGAACCCCCCCTAAATTGATTATGGGGAGATAGTTAACTAGGTTCGGGAATAGTTAAAAAGATTATATAAGTCTTGTGTCACTGCTGTTTCTATCTTTAATCATGCATGCTTTAATAAATTTGTTTGATAAGTTTGATAATTGATTGGCTATTATTCAGGAAATTTCTAAAATCAACATTCGTTTCGACTAGTTTTCTCTGCTGCAAAAGAACTGTTTTGTACTTTTAACGAGTAACAGGGTGCAGGAAACCTTTTCCGAATCATGTCCTCAAAGCATACCTTTTCATAAGCGAACTTTAAAAAAAAATGTTTTGAAATTTTTTATCAAGAAAAATTGACTTTTTTAAGGTCCCTCTCCCAATAAAACGCATCATCAGTTTTATACGATACGCCCAATGTCTTCAGATTATAACCTAAAAAAAACAAATTTCCCTGAATCTCGCATATTGAATTTTCCCCATATTTCGTTTCGTTTTGAAATAAAGTTTAATCGTGGTCATAGTGTTAGGATGTTTTTGACATTTTGAATATGCGTCTTTGAATAATCTTGTTTTGGTTGTTTTAGTATTTTTCGGATCTTGTTAACTATCCCCCCCCCCCCTTTTGGACCTTGCTACCCGCACTCCGTAAAAATGGAAAATATTCGATTATATTATAATTATAATCGTACTTTTAGCAAAATTATAATTAATTATAAGCGCCAATTTTAGATGTTTAAACAATTTATAATGCATTTAAATGATAACTTTTTTGGTGACAGTTTAATAAGTTATAATCAATTATAATTGATTATAATTTTTCCGAAAATCTCTTATAATCTATTATAATAGATTATAATCTCTTTTTCTATCAAAATATTATCTCACGAAAAAATCAATAATAATGGATTATAATTTAGCTATTAGGCATGAAAACACAGTAAACATCAAATTTAATGTAAGTTTAAGCTATAAGCAGGGGCGGATCTAGGACTTTCTTGGAGGAGAAGGCGGAGTTTTAAAAAAAATATGAAAACTTTGTCGACCTTTTTTTTTAGGTTGACCAAATTGATATTATGAGCATAATGAGCAAAATTATGAAAAAAGGCGTTTTCAGACAATTTTTGGAAAATTTTGATCTAAAAATTGCGTTTTTTGGCCTGTTTTGTCATATATTTCAGCGCGTTCTCCCCCCTCAAAACTAGTATATATTGGCGCCAAAGGCGCTTTTAGAAAGTTTTTAGGCTCCGTAACCAAAAATAGATATCTCAAAATAGTTTAAAGGGGAAAAAACCACCCCTGGCTATAAGTACATAATTACAGTTTCTGTTAGTTCAGTAACCAACTGAAAAGCACACACAACAAAACAAAAACAAAACGAAATGAAGCGATGACACAATTGTTGAATAATAATGGATTATAATCCATTATACTGGATTACAATTCAATAAAATTTGAGAAAAAAAAATTCAAAAAATAATCGATTATAATCGATTATGAACGATTATAATATTTTTTTGTTTCAAAAAATTGTAACATTACAATCCTTTTTTAATTGATTATAATCAATTCTTTTTGAAAGTTATGGAGACTGAAAATAAAAATCCATTATAATCTATTGTTACTGAGTGCGGGTAACTATTCTCAACCCCCTCTATGCATGTAATATTTTTGACAACCATTTCTGTATTAAAAAAAAGCATTTCAACAATGTTAACAATAAAGTGGGTTTTCATCTTCGCGCGCTCGAAATTGTATTACTCACTATTTATATAATACCCACGTAAAATTTTTTAACTATATATATTTTCTGGAAATTGTTTTAAGCTGTTAAAAATGTGGCCGCCAAAGCTGAATTTTTGAAAATCGAAATAGGGGAGGGGAAATAGTTAACATGATCCTATTTTTCAATTTTTTTGCATCGAATCGAGTAGTATATCATATTAAATTCCTTACTAATGTGATTCGAACGACATTTTAAATCAAAATCCAGCTAAAAAGTACCAGTTTTGGCTTAATTGCGTTCAAATGAAGCGAGCGAGCAGGCTTATAAAAGAAAAACAAGTCCATTAAAAAGGTTTTTGAATTTGTTTTAATGCCTTTTTGCGAAAAAAAGTTAAAAAAATCTAAAATGTTGTCTATTAATTTTTGGGAGAACACTCCTGTCAATTATCCCTAAAATACATTTTTTTTGAGCTTTTATAATCGTAAAACGAAAAAAAAAGACACTTATTGATATTGTTATAACGAGTTATAAGTATTGTGGGATTCGGTGTTACCTGGACAGCAACCGGCTATCCTTGTTTTGATATGATAGAAGTTAGAAACTTAAGGCAGCTGAAAAAGTGGATAAGTCTGAAATTTATCAACTTAATTCAGGTTTGCGCAAAAATCATACCCAGCAAAAGCATTTGTGATCAGAGCCCAAAAAACTGCAACCAACAAAAAAATTAAATTACTTTGAACATGAAGATAGGGTCAGTAATAATCCTTAAAACTAAAATCAAATATTGTAGAAGAGTTTTCAGCGTTAATTTAGGAAAAAAATTTAGTTCGAATTGTTTAAAAAATGATGAAAATACGTTCATTGTCGAGAGGTCGAAACATAACAAAATTTGCTCGAGAAAGAGGAAACATTCAATCGATAGAAGTCAACATTTTGTTTAGATGCAGCGGTGAAGGGTACGATTTGTGTATAACAAAACGTTATTGACCCTAAGCACCTTACTTATACATCATTAGTTACGTTACGTTACAATCATAAGGGGTTCCGCTATAACATTTGCATTGACTTCACTGGATGTTTCTAAAGTGGTATCCAATTTTGCGAGAAAATTATAAAACTGAAGATAAGTTTGGTAACAGAGTTGTAATTGGAAAATTGTTCAAAAAATAAAATGTATAAATATGAATGAAATTTCAAAGAGGACCTTAATTTTCGAAGACAAACGTTGACTCCATTTGATACATACTAAAAGTTTTCAAAGAGGACCTCATTTGCTAAAACAAATAATGATTCCATTTAATACATACTAAAAATTTTCAAAGAGGACCATTATTTGCTAAGACAAATGTTGAATCAATTTGATACATACTAAAAGTTTTCAAACAGGACCTTCACTTGCTAAGACAAACGTTGACTCCAATTGATACATACTAAAAGTTTTCGAAGTGGAGCTTTCTTTGCTAAGACAAATGTTGACTCCATGTGTTACATACTAAAAGTTTTCAAAGAGGACCTTTATTTGCTAAGACAAATGTTGACTCCATTTGATACATACTAAGAGTTTTCAAAGAGGACCTTCAATTGCTAAGACAAATGTTGACTCCATTTGATACATACCAAAAGATTTCAAAGAGGACTTTTATTTGCTAAGTCAAACCTTGACTCTATTTGATACATACTAAAAGTTTTCAAAGAGTACCTTCATTTTCGAGGACAAACGTTGACGCCATTTGATACATACTAAAAGTTTTCAAAGAGGACCTCATTTGCTAAAACAAATAATGATTCCATTTAATACATACGAAAAATTTTCAAGAGGACCATTATTTGCTAAGACAAATGTTGACTCAATTTGATACATACTAAAAGTTTTCAAACAGGACCTTCACTTGCTAAGACAAACGTTGACTCCAATTGATAAATACTAAAAGTTTTCGAAGTGGAGCTTTCTTTGCTAAGACAAATGTTGACTCCATGTGTTACATACTAAAAGTTTTCAAAGAGGACCTTTATTTGCTAAGACAAATGTTGACTCCATTTGATACATACTAAGAGTTTTCAAAGAGGACCTTCAATTGCTAAGACAAATATTGACTCCATTTGATACATACTAAAAGTTTTCAAAGAGGACTTTTATTTGCTAAAACAAATGTTGACTCCATTTGATACATACTAAAAGTTTTCAAAGAGGACCTCATTTGCTAAAACAAATAATGATTCCATTTAATACATACTAAAAATTTTCAAAGAGGACCTTCACTTGCTAAGACAAACGTTGACTCCAATTGATACATACTAAAAGTTTTCGAAGTGGAGCTTTCTTTGCTAAGACAAATGTTGACTCCATGTGTTACATACTAAAAGTTTTCAAAGAGGACCTTTATTTGCTAAGACAAATGTTGACTCCATTTGATACATACTAAGAGTTTTCAAAGAGGACCTTCAATTGCTAAGACAAATGTTGACTCCATTTGATACATACTAAAAGTTTTCAAAGAGGACTTTTATTTGCTAAGACAAATGTTGACTCCATTTGATACATACTAAAAGTTTTCAAAGAGGACCTCATTTGCTAAAACAAATAATGATTCCATTTAATACATACTAAAAATTTTCAAAGAGGACCTTCACTTGCTAAGACAAACGTTGACTCCAATTGATACATACTAAAAGTTTTCGAAGTGGAGCTTTCTTTGCTAAGACAAATGTTGACTCCATGTGTTACATACTAAAAGTTTTCAAAGAGGACCTTTATTTGCTAAGACAAATGCTAACTCCATTTGATACATACTAAGAGTTTTCAAAGAGGACCTTCATTTTCGAAGACAAACGTTGACTCCATTTGATACATACTAAAAGTTTTCAAAGAGGACCTCATTTGCTAAAACAAATAATGATTCCATTTAAAACATACTAAAAATTTTCAAAGAGGACCATTATTTGCTAAGACAAATGTTGACTCAATTTGATACATACTGAAAGTTTTCAAACAGGACCTTCACTTGCTAAGACAAACGTTGACTCCAATTGATACATACTAAAAGTTTTCGAAGTGGAGCTTTCTTTGCTAAGACAAATGTTGACTCCATGTGTTACATACTAAAAGTTTTCAAAGAGGACCTTTATTTGCTAAGACAAATGTTGACTCCATTTGATACATACTAAGAGTTTTCAAAGAGGACCTTCAATTGCTGAAACAAATGTTGACTCCATTTGATACATACCAAAAGATTTCAAAGAGGACTTTTATTTGCTAAGACAAACCTTGACTCTATTTGATACATACTAAAAGTTTTCAAAGAGTACCTTCATTTTCGAGGACAAACGTTGACGCCATTTGATACATACTAAAAGTTTTCAAAGAGGACCTCATTTGCTAAAACAAATAATGATTCCA